AGCCTGAGCCAGGAGGATGGCTTGAGCCCTGGAGTTTGAGGTTACGGTGAGCTATGATCACACCACTGCACTTCAGCCTGGGTGAGCAAGCCTCTGTCTCTAAAAACTCAATCATCAATCAAACTGCCCCATGTCCAAAGATAATTCTAGAATGAGGCTTCCAGAGACATTTCTGAGCAGTGACAGCGTTATAGGCATAAGCATCCAGCCCCGTAGCACAACTAATGTGAAGATGTGAACATAAATCGGTAAGTTAGGGTATGTCTGCTTAGGACTTGGAAACTTCAGTAGTACCAGGATTTTGCTTTTTTCATTTTCCTCAAAACTGTATATATTATATGCATGTGTTTTTAAAAGAGGAACTTGACTATTTTTATCTAAAAATGTGTATTGCCTGGAGGTATTTTAACTCTTCCTGGTGTAGATATGAGCACAATAGTAATGACAGAAATATTTCATTCATTCTTTAGCTGAGCACTGAGCTCTTTATTTTATCTATAGAGCACTTTAAATGCTCTTCAGTAGACATCGTCCTGCGATCACAGGAGCAGTTGTTGGATATAGTGACAAAGATTTTATTTTGCACCTGGTCAAAATGGACTGTCTGTGCATTGTGTCAGGGCAGGGACAAGCTGAGCTCTGCAGCTGAGCAGTTGCTCTTAATTTGCGACCTCAAGTTACTGCCTGGAGGCTGTTTGTGATCCCAAGTGCAATAAATGAGGAGAAAGCCCTGGTGACAAGAACGGGGACAGGTGCATCGTGGGGGCTGGGGATAGAGCCGGGGCCTCCCTCTGGTCCTTGCAGGGTCACAGAACACACCCAGAGCGAGGGCAGCTCCCCGTAGCTCGGGCCCGTGTGGGTTTCTCGCTGGGGTTGGAGATGTCTTGTGCTTTCCCTGACTAGAGGACTGCGACAGGCTCCTCTGGGCTCCCTCCCAGCGGCGTGCAGACCGTCCGCGTCTTGCTGCGTGATGCCCTGCTCACCCTGCTCTTCCTGCTCGGAGTCATCGCGGGCGCTGAGCAGCGCTTTCCTCAAGCCGGGGCTTTTCGGTCCCCAGCGCTGGGCGCTGCTCACTGGTACAGCGCACATGCCCATATTTGCAGCGGGAGCCCTCTTTAAGAAATTATCTGACTCATTTGGGTCAAATAATAGTTTCCAAGGAGACTTAGAAGAGAGGAAGTGTGATATTAACCTAACCTAGATACCAAATATTTTTTTCCTCTGAAATTTCTTGACAGCTGTTGCATAACCTCCTTTAGTGGTACTTAAAGCTCTGCGCTGCCCTGTACTTCAGATGGCATCGCTGACTGTAAACCGAACGACTTGTTTAAAAATAGTTACTCGGACAGGCTCTGCTTCCATCAAAAAACTGGAAGTGGGATATGCATTTTTTGCATTGGTGTGTAACCGTACGGGAAGGGATGCCCGTTTCTCTAAACCCACCATTATTTTTGCTCACTTTGGGGATCAGGCAAGCTTTTCTGCCGTAGACACGAGACTCCAAGAACGTGCCAGGGTGTTCATGTGGGCCTTGCACACGTCAGCACGCCTGCATTCTTGCCAGCCTCGGACTAGGCCGGCTAGACGGGGCAGGAAGAGAGACCTGGGGAGGTTTCCTGTTGTGTTTAATGGCACGTTTAACTCTTTGCTGTTGAAGGGCTTCCTTGTTTTGGCTGCCTGTGCTCTTCAGTGAAGAAGGAAAGGGGTCTGGAGAAGAAGGAAAACCAAGTTTTCTTGTCCAGCTGGCAAGAGAATAATTAATTTGCCCCACATTTGGGAGATGGGAGGTGGGCGGCACATGGCGTATCACCGACTGCAGTGATGATCAGCCTCAAAAAGTGTGGATAGTTGAAATCCATCGAGAGAACCCTCAAACTCACCAAATCTTTATCAGAGTTACAAAGTACTAGGGAGGTGGGCTGTTTGGCCTGTACATTCTAAGTTTTTATCACACTTTTTGGGGGAGGTAGTTGAGAGATAAAGAAAGTTGTCTCTGGCTAACAGCAAAATAAGAGAAAAACATACAGTGTTTGGTTACGTATAAATGCAGTCAGTCCCGGAGTGATGGCATTGGCCAGTTTGCAAGAATGATGAGTGGGCAACTTGGATGGATAGAAAACATTATATAAAATACCTTTTGCCATCAGTTTTAGGGCCAGCCTGTCATTTTATTGTGTTTTTTTTTAATGGTTGGAGGTGTATAAAAAAATCACTGGTACGTAACAAGGAATAGTCCCATGCCTTACAAGGAAATTATGTAAAAATGTTGTAAGGACTAGATTTGATTTGCCCTCTTTCCTCTGCTTGTTGTAGCCACAGCCAGAGAAGTTTGGATGGCCAAACAGAAAATGAACGGGTGTCCTTTCTGTAGGAGTGGAACCCAGCGCACGGCAGGGCTGGATCTGGCGTCCTTCTCTTTCTGTGATGTAGATAGCCACAAGTGGGGAGGATTTGGAGGCAGGGGCGAGAATTTGTTTAAAGGGTTGTGATGAGAGCACGAGACCACTTGGCTGGCCTGATTCTTATCCGGAAGCAACTGTTCCTGTCCTATGTCCCTTGGCGGGTGTCCTCCAGGAACCAGGGGGTGGCTCTCACTCCAACAGCACTGGCTGGCACCCCGAGAGCTAGCAGTAAGGTCGCTGCAGGTCCCAGCCTCGACCTGCTGACGGGTCGCTCCAACTGGGGCCTTCTCCTTTCCGCGGCCCCCACCGCCAGCCCTTCCCCACCACACGTCACCGCTTTGTCCCAGGCCCGCTCCCCCAGCAGGGCTCAGAAGCTCCCCGCCTTGTCTCCTGGACCATAGCAACTCTTTTCTCAGTGTATCTTTTGTTAAATATGACCTTTTTCATGTAAATAAAACATGATTTGGAATTGTTCTCTCAAAAAAAAAAAAAAAAGAAGAAGAACAAAGTGTTTCATCAGCATAATTAAATCTTCGACACAGGGAATAGCGGTTTTGGTAAATTGCTCTCCAGGTAAGAGAGCAGGGGCTCCAGGTTGAGTCCCAGGTTTCTGACGTGGCCAAGGGAGTGGATGGTGGTGTTGTTCACCAAGGAATGCAGGGGAAGTGTGGGTTTAGGGGCAGGACAAAGAGTTAGGGACACGTTTAGTTAGAACAGTAGTTGGAACAATCTTATAAGCAGCTGGGTGGGTGAGTCTGAAACTCCAGGGAAAGATCTGGCTGGAGGTAGAGATTTGTGAGGTCATCAGATAGATGGTGAGCGGAACACAGGAATAAATGCGACTTTCCAGGGAGACCACACACACAGGGTGAAAAGAAGGGAGACTGAACGATTGGCCAGGACTCCGAACACAGGCGGGAGGAGGCCTGAGAGGTGATGTCTTGAATCCAGCACAGGAAGTGCCCACCGCAGAGAGAGAGACGTTCTGCCTCCGTAATCCTTGGAGGACCAGAATCAAAACCAGAGGCAAGAAGGGGAACTAAGAGAAAGCAGAAGCATATTTGGGCTACTATCGAGAAGGAGGCGCTGAGAGCTAAAAAAAATCAGAAACCGGGGAGGCAGGAAGGAGCAATTGCTGTGAGATGTTTTCCTCCCCTTGGGGCAAAGTGGGCGCTAGGAAGGACCCGAATCCCAGAGCACCTGCCTCGGCTGAGGATCAGCCTCGACCGAAGGGGCCTGGGGGAGCGGTTGGCATGGCCCGGTCCCCTCCCTGCGGGGCACACGCTCTGTCGCAGGACAGTTACCAGCAGGGAGTTGGTGAGTGTCAATTTCCTCCTCTCTTTCTTTTTTTTCTTTTTTCTTTTTTTGGTATTCTTAAAAAGTCAGGCTTGCTTTTCTTATATTTATAGTATTTGTTTTTTATTATATTATTATGAAATAGTTATTTTTATGTGCCAGTTCTTTACATATATTTAGGCTCATTTATTTATTTATTTGTCATAGTAGTTCTCTTTTGGAGGTACTGTTTTTGTTCCTGATTTACTTATCAGGAAATTGAGGCACAGAGAGGTTTAGTGACTGGCCCAAGGCCACACAGCTAGTGAGTTGTACAGCTGTATTATGATCTCAGGCAGTCTGGCTTGAATCCGTGTATGTCACCACCATCTTCTATAACTATCTCATAATAATAATAACAATTGTTCTTATGTAACATATGTCTATATTTTAAAATTGGAAAATTTAGAAGAATCTTACCACTCGCTCATGCTTTTCCTTGGAATTTTGCCTGTCATGATTTGGAACTTCATTATTGAGGTATATTCTACTTTTTTGTTTTAAACCTCTCAAGATTTTGCTCACTCAGATTGAACCAATGGGTTGTGGTAAAATCACCAAAGAAAAATGTCATCAAAAAGCTTTTTGTAATTGCTCTCATTTTTGGTCATAAATTTGGGGGGTTTTTTGGTCATTTATTTTGGGGGGTTTTTGTTCATTTTTTCTCTTAGGATGTCTGCTGTCATCCTTCTTAAAAAAGATTTGTGGTTCCCTTTCAAGGATTTCAGTTTAATTTATGAGTCTGGGATTTGGATGTTGAAAAGTTTTTTTCTTAAAACTTAAGTCATTCCTCAGAAAGAGAGTAAGTTTGGGAAGAATCAGCTGTTTGTATTCCTGATAGACCAGTCTCTTTGCTGCTGAAACGAGCTGCTCCTGAGTCTTCCCTTTGGGGACCAGAAGGAGTTCATGGTTTCCCACGGTGACCTACTACACCCCTTGCTCCCTGGAGAACATGTGGTTTTGGAGTATATATTCCCCATATGTTATTAGTGATTGTGTTTATAGACTCACACATAATTATCCAAAAAGGGTTTGAATGATTTGGCGAGGAGAAGAGAGGGTTATAGAGTTTATCTTAAAATCATAAAATTTTCAAGTTGGAAGGTGTCTTGAAAGTCGTAGTAGTCCAGGCGCCTCAGTTGCTGGGTGCAGTTACGGCGTGTGCCCGGGGCTCACGGGAGCACAGAGAGCCCCTCCTGTCTGGAGGACGGGGCGAAAGCCCAGGGAGGAGCCCCAGCAGGTGGTGATGCCGGAGCCTGAAACCACAAACCAGTTTGATTGTGCTCCACTCTGCTGGGAGAGGCTGTCGAGATCACTCTGCTGAGCGGATTTTGAGGCTCGGTTTCGGCCCAGCAGGGAGGAATGCCACCGTCTCTTAGCAGTGTCTCCCACGGTGCCCTGGGAAGTGGCAGCACGATCCCACGTTGACAGCGTTTTGTAGGATGGACGTTAGCCAGGAGAGCAGTGGGGAGAGGACAGTCGACAGGAGGGCCAGCAGGAGCAAGGACACAGGCAGACGAGGGCTTGACACGTGGGCCACTGTCCGTGGGCTGCTGGGACAGGAGGAGCGAGCCAGGGAGCAGCAGGAGGGATGAGCCTGAGAGTTGCTCAGGGACCAGGTGCTGGAAGGCCCTGGACGGCGAGGTCAGGAACTTGGGCTTAGCCCCTGGGAAGAGGAACCGTTGGTGACATTCAGTGGAGGACTGTCTGCAGTGAGCCTCGGGAGAGGCTTGGGCCTAGAAAGATGCCGATCTGAAAATGTGTTTCTGCGTTCCAGCTATAAGCCCATAGTGGAGTATATCGATGCCCAGTTCGAGGCCTACCTGCAAGAGGAATTGAAGATTAAACGTTCTCTCTTCAACTACCATGACACCAGGATCCACGCCTGCCTGTACTTCATCGCCCCCACCGGGCACTCGCTGAAGTCCCTGGACCTGGTCACCATGAAGAAGCTGGACAGTAAGGTACTCGCTGCCACTCTGCTTACACTCGCTCTCCTGTTGGGTCACCGGTGTCCCGAGGCCCTGATTTGTCCTCTGCTTTCAGTGTCACTGTTTTTTCTGTATCACAGAACCACAGGGTTTGGCAATGTGAGGAAAAAAACTCCAAAACCTTTTGTCTGTTAGGCAAAACCAAAACAAAACTAGCAAACAAAACCATGTGGCTTGCTACACAGTATTTTTAGTTCTTAAATAGGAAATTGAGACATAAATTCAAGGTTTATTTATTTTCTTAGAAAATGTTCTCTAAATCTCGCTAAAAGATTTCTAAACATTTGGCTTTCATTCAAAAAGTTTAGAATGGAATAAAAGTCTTAATTTTTTTGTCTATGTGGTAAGGAGGGTCCAGCTTCTTAGATTTTTTTTTTTTTTTTTTTGAGACAGAGTCTGGCTCTGTTGCCCGGGCT